CCCGCTCTATGTCATGTTTAATAGTATTCAATAATGAATAATTTAAGAACCATCTATACTTAACACACTGTTCTGACAGACACTTTCCCAAAGACAGGATTGATTTTATGTGGTTCAATTTGTGATAATGAAGTGACATAAGTATAATCATGTGGATATAACGCGTATGTGCAAATCAGAACTAGTGAACCGAGGTATATACTTTTCAATTTGATAAAGTTGGCAAAAATAGAAAATCGTTATTGAGAAAATAGAAAATGGGCAAATAAATTATTTGCAAGCAACATTCCCTTTCCTCACTGATTCCATTAAGTCGAACGTGTGGAAAACTATAACTATAAATGAAAAAATAGGTTAACAATATCGAAATCGGGTCCAAATTATGATCGTTTTCAAAATGATAAAGGAGTCAAAATAATGTTATAGGAATTAAAATGGCAGCTACTGTGACATTATGACAGGTATCACGTGATGTATGTGTTGACAGAAGTGTTATCATATTTCAGAAGAAATTTTTTTTGCTCATACTCAGGAGATGTCATCTCCCTCATCCGGGGTCCAGGAAGAATATATAGATACCTATAGAGGTTGGGGGATAGTAATGTAATATCAAAAAATGGCTCGAAAATGGATTTTGAAGGCGGTATACTTCGATTTTAAAGATTTATTATGGATCTGAAATCGTATGTACGATGAAACTCTCGATGCCACGTAGTAAAGAGTTAAATCACCCGTTACGTGCTCGATCGTTTGTACGACTAATTAGAGATAATAATGTGCGCTTCCAAGGAAATATTACATGACATATGAAAGTAGAAGGTAACGATACACAATACAAATGGGAAATTAAGGTACATGTAGTAAATACGCTTCACATGGTTTGCTTTCTTACGCGAGCATTGATCCATAGGACAGTCTTATCACATTGATTGGTTGATTGTGTGTTTATTTTAAATACAAGCTTGCAACCAATATCATTCGTTGAACTTTTATAAATTTAAGTTCAGTTACAGTTGTATACGGTATTATGTAACTTGTGATTCACTCGCTTTGAAGGAACTATCTTTGAGAGAATCTTTGTGAGTCAGAATGAAGGATTGAATAATCTGGGTTAGATCGTCCCCCGTGTATGAAACCTGTTTGAATAACCCTCTAGCCTCAAAATACAAGAAGAGAAATGCAAACCTCGAAAAGTGTTAGAACTGATGCAATCTTGTTAAAGAAATCACAAGGTCACTTAAACATTGTATAAGAAACCTGATTGTATAACCTCCGGGCCTCAGAAAAGGATTAGATCTAAAATAATTGGATCAGATGGTCAGTTATATAATTTATATCAAACCTGTTAGAATAACCCCTTGTCCTCAAAATATCATGAAATATAGAAATCTAGAAGGTAAGATATATGACCAATAGGCAAAGATAACTAGAAGAAGAAAAAAAAACTCATGGTCGGAAATATTAAGGTCAGTAAAATACAGTAAAATAATCACCAATCAAATGAGTTTTGATCATAGCATATCGTTTAAAAAAAATTACTACTGTCTAAAGTTTCGAAAAGATTTAGAGTTCCTATTCTTGTTTGTTTCATGTTCATAATGTCATTAACGATATTGATGGTTTGAATAATCACCCTTCAATGTAAAAATAACAATCAGTAAAAATAAAACCTTTATCAATTTGGCTGGCTCCAACGTCTCAAATGCAATTTCACCAGTCAGACTGGCAGCGCCCCTTTTTCAACCCATGTTCCCCCTCTAATATTTTCGATTTGTCACCAAATATAAATATAATCCGTTTTCATTTCATTACTCGTGCTGATAAAAATATCTAGCCCCTGTAAACAATCTAGGGCACAGCGGATGCCAGGTTTCAAAACCACAAACGTAAATTCGAGGAGTGCTAATATGTTCTTGACAATATTAGGCTACCATGAAATTGTTCTCACCTCGAGAGTCCGCCCTACTTTACAAACCTAGATCTTTAGAGAATTGCTTAAGCATATCGTAAGTAGAGATAACATCAAACGTCGATAACCTTCTTTGTGAGCTATGCTCTTTCGACGCGTTAGCAACATTCTAGCCGACGTTAATCATAGAAAAGGGTACAAATAAAGTCTTTTTTGAGAGTGCAATTTTAAAAGATTCTAAATCACGGAGTTACATATTAGACGGAGATCAAAGGCAATTGGTGGCGTTTGATGGATGCTAATTGAAGCAGGTGACTTTATTTAGTTTAGATGTGATCATAAAAATCACATAGCTCCCTAATTTCACGAAATGTTGTTTCCTTTTAAATTTGTAAGGTGAGGAAACCTTGTATGGTTTATAGACGTGACTCCTAACGACTCGTGTCTGATTATGAAAACAAATCTATTATTAAAATATAGTTATTAAAGTATGCAGACATGACGTATTCCTAACCTAATCGTCATCAACTATATTTTGGGGAAATTAATCGAGACAACGCTCGCAAGTGTGAAGTGTCATATCTTCCGAAGAGACATCCAAAGACAGATACAGGGTTGATTTCCGGTTTCGCGTCAATATTAGGAAGGAATTCACTGGACTTCCTCCTTCTGGGTTAATGGCATTTCTTTCTTTTTGTTTATCATCAGTCAGCAAAGATCTTTTATCGAAATAATTTCCATGATGAAACTCTTGAACATTTTAAGATTGCTGAGTGAGAAATGACTTCAATCATTTTCGTTTCCTCCTTTAAAGCAGAAATAGAACCGGCGAGTATTAGGCGACGACGTATGAAACCTGCAAAGAATCCAACCACCTTTTAGTGACTCCTTATTCTATTGCTGCAAATATTTACAGGTTTTAAATTTTTAATTGAAACGTTTTATTCAAATCGTTTGCATCTTTGTTGTAGTGGTAGTATAGCTTTCAAATTGATCATAATAAATAAACATGATATCATAACATATTATATTATCAGAAGAGAGATTGAAAATTAAGAAATGAATGAATCAATGATAATATAAATAATGTGCGACATTAAAAAATATGTTTATTTATTGTTTCTGAAATATTACTTTCTCAAAATGACCGGTTTTGCCAATTCTTTAGAATTGCGAGTACTATATCACATAAAATAGTATTTGTTCTATTTTCTGATAATGGAGTAACATAGAACACAAAATATATAGTTCATGGCCTAATTATTTACACAAGGTATTCTTAAATGCACGTCAAGTGGCTGCTCATCTTTTCAATGAAACAAATTGCACTAAACTCAGCCAGACATAAGATTACTATCTTCATCTCGTTGTGGTTGGTTTATCAACCAATGCCTTCCATATTTCCGTCAAGCACAACGTCAAAATCGAGGAAGTGACACCACATTAATTATCACTTTCTTCTTTCACTTATCAGCTAAAATTATTCATGTGCATGGTGATAATAACTTCTTGAATCATTCTCTTGAAATGACGGTTAGTCTCTCGGAGTATGTTGTCTACCTGTTAATTTTGTTATCACTTTACAGGCGGACGAAAAAGTTTAAATCTATTAACGCCCCGACGAAATAACAAACGCCTTATTGCACTTAGTTGTTTCGCACGAGAATATATACTTGTACCGTGGCAGTTCAACATAATTGCTAAATTATGTCAATTAGCCAACATCCCCTGCGTTGCCGCAGCATTCAAGGGAATCTCTAATTCCTATTTTGGAGAAAAATGAATTTATTCCTCTGAGAAGGATGGTTTAAGGCCATGCTGGAGGGGAAGTTTGTTTTGAAATGTTTTCATTAACGGTTTAATTTATGACTGTATGTCAAAACATGAGAAGGATGTTATGCAATCACAATATTTCGCTTCGAAGCTCAGGTTCAACCACAGACTCCTTCGGGTATATCATATTATTAAGTGTCTGGTATGTGGCCTTTGATATTTAGACAATGGTATTTGGACAAATCATTACAGTATTAAAACCATACCGTTATTATAGGGCGATAACTGTTTTCCGTCGATTTATTAACAGATTAATGGTATAATTTATTCTTCGCCTTATTTCATGTACAGTGTATTTCTTTTTTTTAACATTTCTCAAGCAATTTTTTTTCATGATGTTTAGCAACATTAATCTTAACTACAACCATAATTAGTGAGCAACTAGCCCTTGTAAAGTTGATGTGGCAAAGCTTGCTCTTCCACATGATACGTTGCGTATTTTGTATCACAAATCTCGCCTGTTAATTTGATAGTTTGGGATAATTTCCGATTTTTATATAAAGATTTAGATACAGTTGTATGTCAAAAAGAAAATGTTAGATTGTACAATAAACTTCTCATTCTTGGAACAAATAAAATGGTCTTTACATATAATTTTCAATCAAGTCCTCAATAAGTTCGAAAAAGCGTTGTTCGGCATATTTCATACAAAACTGTTTCTTCTACAATATAGACCTACACAAGGGGATGATTACGCCAGTGTTTCACTTTTATTGGGGTTCATAATTTACCTAGCGCGGGAATACCAAGTTATTAATAAATTTCCTGCGCTTCTCCCGTGTAACCATGTTGGTACCCCAAGTAGGGCATTCTGTCAGGATGTGTCTCCTATACATGGAGACGTTAACCCCAACAAAGCCGTCTATAATAATATTGCTACCACGAGAAAATCACAAAGAAAGACAATGGTAAAGCTCAAGTAATATTTAGGAGAAAATTACATGTTTCAGGCATACTTTATAAAACAGTGACAAACAATAGGTCAAAATTATAAACCCCCTTCTGCGCTGGGGAAAAAAATATGGTTAAAATATGTAGAACGTTGCCGGTAAGCTTGGTAAGGTAATGTACAGCAAATTTTTAAAAGGAGGAATCAATACAACTTTCACTGTCTAACGCAGAAAGGGAAAATAAACTTTGATTATCTGATCATACATTGCCTAAGACATAGTATTTAAAAAAGCATTATAAGACAATCGAGGCAAATGGAATGAGCTAGGTACAACATGGTTCTGAAAATATTATTTAAGAGACTTACCTAGTGACTCGAGAACAAACATTATCTCCATAAGGTTCCACGTATTTCATCGAAGCTGCTCCCCCTAAGTGTATTGTTAATATAAAACCTATAATCAACCGTGCAGTCCTGAAAGATAATGTTCTCTCCATGTTTGCGGATCGGCAATTATGTTCCACTAGTCCAAGAAACATGATAATGATAATGAGGTCCTGGTTTATTAAATCATAAAACAGATGGATTGAAGAACTTTCCTTGTTGATAAAGGCATGCCGTTAAAATCCAGTTGGTTTTTATGAAAGTTGATCTCCTTTTGTGTCTTCATCAGCGATACCAACATCCATATATCAGTTCCAGGTCTGGTTAAACTTTTTCCAAGAAGGAGTGATTTGCAGGAGTTGAGAAAGCGAACTGTCCGCCATCAATGCACGGAGTGTACTGTCAAGATCCGAGAGTAGGCTCGTACAGCCGCTCACTGCAGACGGTAGCTGCGGTTAATAAGTGAGCTCGGGAAAGCCCTCCCTATCCACTCTGAGCATGCTGAGGAAACCGCGCGCTTTCTAAACGTTGGCCTCAACCCAGTAATTCAGAGCTCTTGAGTAAAGGAGTAGAGAGAGAGAGAGAGAGAGAGTTAATTTGTCATTATTGATACAGTTAAGAAATGTCCACCTGTATGTTCTAAGTTATTTTTTAGAGACGGAGGGTTTACCTTTTATAGCAGAATAGTATATTTTAACTTTACTCACGTGGGAGAGATCAACTAATGTAGCCAAAAACTGCATTGCTTTACCAAAATGTAAGAAGTTACAGAAATTAGGCACAAACAAACAAAAATAGAGATTGAGACATTAGATAACATCGTTAAGAACATATTCTCAAGTATGTGCGAATGGAACATGATTTTTTTTTAAAAATAATTATGTTTATTATTCGCAATAATTTCTTAGAACATTACTGTAAACCATTCAATAATCAATGTCTATATATTTGCCGTGTTTTTTTAACTTTGATCGTTAAATAACTTGCAATTCTGAATAGACCAAAGGTGAATCTTTGACAATATATGAAGCTCTTCTGTCATGTCATTGATTTAATGACAATAAAATAGATATGTTTCGATTAAGTTAAGAGCAAGTGCATGTCAAAAACGCACGTGTCATTTCCGTTTTCCTAATGACTATATCACTATACACCTTGTTTATAACATTGAATAATTCTTGAGCAAGGTTCATTTGATTGCCAGCCACGATTGTCCTTCGTATCCTTGGTTTAGAATGAAATTGTCTAGGCGTTCAATTGGCTATATGTCAGGGAACATAATGCTTCACAATAATGACAAATTATGACAGACAGCGTCTTGTCAATTTTATCGAATGATGGATAAGGCTATATGTGATAAACATCATACCATGTGATTCAGCTGCCAAGTCATGATATCGAGATAATGATAATCGTATTTATTCATGATTGTTTTAAAGATGAGAAGACATGAAAGTACGTTTCTTATTCAACATTGTTAATTACTTAAAAAGTTCGTATGGTATTAAAGATTCATTTTTGTTCACTCTTTCAAATGGATCTCACATCAGAGCAAGGGTTTGGAAGACTTTTCGTGTCACTTGAGGATGTCATATTCTTTTTTCTTCTCAGTCTTGCATTAATCATGTTTATTTACGCATTCGTGGAAATAATAATCAACTCGTTCATTTGTTTACATTGAAATGCAGGATTAGAAACAACTTTAGATTGCTTCCTCAATTCTTAAAATGGCGATAATCAAAATGCATTATAAGATTTTGATCTCTGCATAAACATTTCGAAGAGTTAAATACTTTAGTAGTCTGTCGGTCTGTTTTCTGTTCCTCATATACAACCAAAAAAAATGTAGGGGGTAATCAAGATTTACTTATCAAGATAAATATAAACGAAATTAATGTTCATGAAGATGATTTATGCGATATAAATCATGGTAAACTATTAGAGAGACCTTTTTTTAATATCCGGATTTCTCATTTTATTTTGTTTGATTTGTCATGCCATCAAATATTTTACGTCGCTGTATTAACAATCATTTATAATATCATGTAAACGCCATTAACAATTTAATAAAAAGAGCATATTCTATAATTAAGTTTTCATATTAAAAATACTCTTCAAGTTTGAGTTAAACAGAAGCTGTCAATGATTATGATTCTTCGAGGCTTGCTATACCCTTGTTGGTATCTGTTATCTCTCAACACATATTCCTCTTACAAGTATGAATTGCATCGCTTTGACAGATTTGATATTGACGTGTATAAATCAATGTTTCAAACTACTCTCTCTCTCTCTCACTGTCACTCACACACACAACCACTCGCACGCATACATACACCCACCCACCCACTCGCACTCTCATTCTCTCTCTCTCACACACAACACACGCACACACAGTCCCTCGTTCTCTCTCACACACACACGCACACACTCACTCACTCATTCTCTCTCTCTCTCACACACACACGCACAATACCCACTCACTCATTCACATCTTTCTCATTCCCATACCAACACACACACGCACAACCACTCGCAATCTCATTCTCTCTCTCTCTCATAATCACTCACTCACTCACTCATTCTCTCTCTCTATCTCACACACACACACTCACTTACCCATTCTCTCCCTCACACACACACACGCACACTCACTCATTCTCTTTCTCTATCTCTCGCTCCCTCCTTCCCCATTGATTTTGCATGTAATGAAAATGGCCCAAAGTAAAGTGTCAGTCCATTAGTATCAGCACGCTACGAAGACAAACGGTTCTTTATTAACATGGCGGAATTTGGTATGTTTGGGGTATAGTATACTTTTTATATTGTAGTAATATTTTCAAAGAGATATGTGTAGTAAGGGGTTGAGCGGAACAACTGATTTAACTGGTGTGGCAGTGGGGACAGAGTGTCCGCCTTTCTTTTGGCTTTGTTCTTCCTGTTGGAGGATGTGTTTAAATGAATGGCCCGGCCTGAGGGGATTGTATTTCAAACTATTTGCTTTCTCAAATACCTTCAGGTCTACGTCAATAGATTTTAAAGTGAAAATACACCGTTGAACTTCATTAAATTTAAAATAAAGTTGAAACACCGACTGAAAGGAAAATTTGAAATGTACTTACCTAAATTGTTATCTGTCAATATAGCTTCCTTCAAGTAAATGACATTATCATAAAGTTGCACTGAACATCCGTGCACACTTGCTTACAGAAAGCAATTTCTTGATGAGAATATAACGAATGTCCTCAAATATTCATATTTTTTGCAGAGTATTTGAAGGTGTACTGATATAAGTTTAAACAGCAAGAACTAGTCTCGAAAAACCGATAGTCATAATGAGTTATACGGAGAGGAGGAGTTCAAGTGGTATGATTAAGTTCACCTTTTTCCTCCCAGTCACAGGCTATGCGAAATGATATCACTATAAAAATGCTGATATTAATAATCAATAATTTTCTGATATTAGTATCAATGTAAGATATTTGTTTGTAATAAACAAAATTATTCAAATTTCATATCCATTCTTATAGTGTGTACTTCTACAGACCGTTCTCTTAAAGGTATTGGATGCATTCCCGAGGGTGGAATTCAGAGTCCATATCTTCAAGAGGAAGGGATAGTGTTGTAACCCTGACCTTGGTTGATAAATTTTGTACTAAACACTATCTCAAACACAATCAATGCTCTAATGAAACCAAGTGTGAAATACACCGTCTGGCGTTGCAACGCGGAACGAAAGGCTTTTGAAGGAAACTTGACCATAGACGTAGCGAAGTAGATATGAATTGATACGACGGGTGCTAATCCGGTATGCCCACATCACACGAAGCGTCATTTCGGTTGCGCTATTACTACCAACACTGATTAAGCCTGTGAAGGAAAATGCGTCAGATAGTTGGACACAATGCTTGAACTGTTTTAATGTTGCATAGTAAGATGTCACATTCACACGGTGTGTCAAAGGCCGCGTCAGTCGGTGACGCAGTCATACGTCAGCACAGCTATTCGTCAGCGCAATGACGCCTCGTCATACCTTAAAACGGGCATTATGAATTTGGAACAACGAATCAGTTGCCAAACGTTGCAAAGTATCTAATATGAAACTTCATCAACTAGAACCTGATGGATAGCAACTACACCATTAATTCAATATCAAATAGGCCTAGATCTTTTTATTTATTACATTTTGTTCAAATTTAACGAATTTAATGCGAATTAACAACGTTTTTTGCTTTGACATGCTGTTATATTTATATATACATTATTCTGGAAGTTGCCAAAATAATGTCTTCTTTTCCGTGTAGGTGTGTCACTCAGCTAGAGAAGTAGGCATAGAATAAAACTATTACAAGTTTTGACTCTATTCACTATTTATACAGTATATATCAGCATAAGATGTTGAAGTAGCCTATTAAAATCCTTGGTATAAAACCCTACCCCCCCCCCCCTTTCTTTCTTTCTTTCTCTCTCTCTCCGTCTCTCTGTGCACCTTTTTCAATATTCATCTCTTTTAACTCTCTCCCCTGCGATACCTCTTTATCTGTTTACATTTCTCTTTCTCTCTTTGTCTCTCTCTCTCTCTCTCTGTGTTTCTCTATGTCCCCCTCTTTCTCCATTTCTCCCCCTCCCTCCCTCTCTCTCTCTCTCTCTCCCTATATATTTCTTTATACATTTCACTTTACTTTGCTCTTTTTATACACCTTTCTATTTCTCTTTCTGCATCTCCTTCCGTTGTTTTTCTGAGTCAACATGTCTTCCTTCCATCCCCCTTTCTCCCTCTCCTTCGCTTCCACTTTCTAACTCTATTTTGATATGTAAGTTCCTTCATGATCAGTATGTTAGAGTTGGAAAAGGTGTATGACTATAGGGATACAATTTTGCACCTCCAGACATAGAACATACAAAGCTTGGAAAAGAGCCAAAAAAACAGGGGTACCCCAAGAGCTAAAATGTTGCACTTGCATTTCCTCCTGGTATGAGGAATGATTAGTAACATTTCTTCGATTACATTTAAAAAACAAAAGTTTATTCATGTGACAGGATGAGAATGCTATTGGGAATAAAGGGAATGCTGTTTCCATAGCCGAGGTAAGGTAGATAAAAGTGTACGTTTGCACTACATTTGATTCACAGCTCAAATAGGCAAAAGTATTGGAGTGGTATACGTGATACTAAGTATATCAAAGAGTGTGAACAAATCAAGATGAACCCTGGATGCACCAGCCTGCATTTAGCAAAATAAAATCTGGTTCTTGTTCCTCATTTCCGTTGTAGTATCCTTTGTTTTAGATATTGATTCCTTCGGATACGTGGTGTGTTATTGCCTGCCGTTAGATAAGATCAATGTCTAACACTTCACTATGTATGCACTTCCTTTCCCTTCCCAGGACCATTGTCCCAGCCCTTTGAGGATACCTAGACCAACCAGAGGGACCCTCCCTTGATAAATGTCAAGAAAGGGAAA